TCAGTTCCTTACTGTAGGAAAACACTTATTTTGTTGACAGACAAAGCAATTACTGATGAAAACATAATTAATTGTGTCATTAATTTTCCCTCAACCTGATATGGGTCTGAAAATTTCTGAAACTTTTGATTATTTGATTGCTTATTTGTGACCATTTGCTACTCATTTACAGTGCAATATGCTGGAAAGTGACCTATACAAAGTGTTATCAACTGTAACAATGAGTGCCAGGTCTGCAGTGAAGGTTGGAGCTTTGTTAATGAAGAAATTGTATCCATAGTCAACAGCTCTTCCACTCTCTTGCACTGTGTGTACATATGTGTGCATTTTTGTGTGTGTGCCTTGGTGCCAGTATCACTCAGCCTTGAGATGCCTTCAGTGGCTGCAGGCATTAGAATCAGGGTCACGTTCCAGCGGACAATTCAGACAAAATGGTCCTTAGGAGGAGAAGTCTGTGTGTGTGAGTTTCAGTCGGTTTTCTGTGCTTTATTTGAGAGCAATATACCAATAATACAAAATACTTCTTTAGAATTTTAAAATAAAAAGTCACATGTTAAATTCAGCAAGATAAAAAAGTAACAGTTATGAAATATAAGACCACTTGAATTATGAATCATCTGTATAACTATTCAACTTTAAGCTCAAGCAATACCTCCTCTGTCTGATGTCTCCTTTTTAAAAAATTTTGTTTAGACTGTTTGACAGTTAATTCTTTCTTGCTTATAATATAACTTTTAATGTGCATGACCTTGAAGACAATGTTGATCTGGGCCCAGGCAAGAAGATTTGGTCACAATGGCAGATACGTACCTCTGTCTACCTGGTTTTCTTTTTGCAGAATTGCTAAGGATTATCATGACATTTTGGCTGCCTATTTCAGGAATGCTGTGTGATTCAAGGATTACAAGGCATAGAGTTGGAAAAGGAGATTTATGGTTTGAGAATATGTTGTCTCATCATTATTTTTTGCAAATAAAGTGGTTCTTGTTGGCATCTGTAGCCTATGACCTTTAGCAGGCACTGGAGAAAATTACAGCCAAGTGTGTTGTGGTCTGCTATAATAGTCAGCTCCTCTAAGTCTGTAGCACTGGTTCTTTAACAAGAAGGGTTGTTCTGGGTTGAGGGTTAGTTTCTGGATCGAATGAAGGGGTAACATTAGGGGTTCCATCTGGAATAATCTTGCTGCGCTGCTCAGGTTGATTGTGAAGCAATCAAATACAGGCAATTAAAATAAAATTCATCCATACTGTTGTCAGAATCAAACTGAACTATGAGCTTGCTCATACAGGAAGGTATGAATTGCTCCAAAATGGATTGATAGATGGCTGCACTGACTTTCTACTTGAGAAAACAAAATGCACTAACACAAGCAAAGGACATGCCCTTTGAAAGCATCTGTAACTAATTTATTTTGCCTTTTTTCACTCCTCTCAATCCGGAATGTTTATTGTTTAATCGAAATCAGTATTTTCATCTAAAAGGAAGACTTTGAACCACTAGACAATGGTTCATCTCCTTTACCTCATTTTCCAGAAACTATAGCTTGGGAAACTCTGGAGGGTGTGATTCTTATAAATGACCCACCTTAAAAAATGTTTTAACTACTTCCTTAATAAATAATAAACTGTGAAATAAGATTTGTTAATATATATTTGGATGTTCTGTTTCTACTGTCACCAACTACCATTTTAGCCAACGCATTGATTGAGAACAATAATGTTGCTTGACCTGAACTTATTTTCAAAGAATTTTTTAAGTTTTTTTTAAAGATGAAGCTATTGCGAAGCAATTCATGCTGCTAAGAAATTCTACTTATTTGCAGCATCCCCCACCTTTACCATACAGTAAGACAACATGGTGAAGTGATGTATTCCTGGTCCTGGAGGCTATCCGTGAAGGAGCGGTTGTACTGGGATCACCTCAGTCATTACTGGGTTAGCTGAACTCTTTCTTTTATTACAACTTCAATCTGCAATATCTCTGTGACAGCACCTGCAATTTGGAGTGTATCCAAATGTGTTGTCATACTTAACAAGTACTAACCAGTGGATGGGCTACACGGCCAACTCCACTATTTCCAGAACTTAACCAGCTCCTTTGTTTACTGTCTCTCATTTTTTGACCGAGCGATTAGTCCATGTGTGTCTGGCCAATGTCATGGTAACTAAGGTCAGCAAGACCTGTAGTTAGCAATATTGCATTCTTCTTATTGCTCAGAAGGTCGAAGCTGCTCACCCAAGCTGCTTCATTAGTTGGATGGAAAACAGGTTTTTGTTTTTACAGGAGTCATGTGACTTGCAGAAAAACCTCCTCTAAATGGAAGGTAGTACTGCATTGTATGTAAAAGAAAGATGCAGTGCCGTATTCCATTTCCAGATAGTTTTGCTCCAAGTCACTGAAATTGCCATTAACCTATCTCAGCACACCTCCCTTTTTAGGCTGAACGTGGTTAGACAATCACTAGAGTTCCAATAGAGGGTGTATAGAATCCTTATTCAACATCATCAGAAGCTGCAGCATCTGCATCGATAACTGAAGCTGATATAGCCAAAACAGATTACTGCACAATCTGCTCAAAATTTTTGAGGATTCCTCATATACACAACACTGAAGAATTGAGCATGTGTTCAGTGGGAGGCTTCCTTGGGTCCACTGCAAGACGGAAAGATAAAGATCATTCCTGCTGCCATCACCCTTAGGAATAAGATTTCAGAATATTGTTGAAAAGTACAACAATAAGGAATTTTCCATATGGGATTAATACAAATTATCTCCCATTTAATGACTGAAAGTCTTCATCAAGATGAAACAATGACTCAAATTTCCAAACTTAAAAAATCCATCATTTGATTTCTTTGGATCAGAAATATTATACAGTTGAAGTTGTGCTATCGTTTAGCATTCCGTAAACTGAATTTAATTAAATTCAGCAGCCTAACACTCCCCAGCTTTTTCCTTTTTGTTATCATAAAGAAGACTATACAACCAGTGAGCAGCTGACGTGCTCCTTTTTGGTAAGCTGATTTTGTGTCAAACTTTAACCTCTAAGTGTCTTTTTAACTTTGGGTGTCCAGTAGATGACATAATCAAAATAACATGCATGCTTTTTAGATCACAGGTTAGTTGTTCAATGTTTGCATGTCTACTTCCATCTCTACGCACCTGACTTGCTTACCTGTAATCAGTCTTACTTTGCTTTTGGTTAGTTGGTCTGATATTGATGCCAGTATCTGAAATCTACGTCTACGATACAGAAAGTGCTGGCATCAGAACTGGAGTTCAGTCATTGATCGAATACCTAATTTGTTAAAACAAATCTATTTTTCCATCAGCTTTTTTCTATCTGACACAGTTGCTGGTTTTAAAACTCACTGTGCGGCCTTCTTCTGTTGTAGAGGGACAAAGAAGAAGTGATCACCCTGGTTTAAAGGTTTAACCTTAGCCAGGCCTTACCATCATCTCTTTAATTAGCCATTTTTTGTTTATTTGATGTTGTATTCATTTACATGGGAGCAGAGTCTATGGCATGTGCCCTGAGTAAACAATGCAACAATGCATTTTTGTAAAACTGAAAGTTATTGTCTTTCTCTGCAGGTAAGTCCAGGAAAAAGTTCAACATGTGAGGACACTTCTCCTTAAACTAACAGACCTTGAATGGATGGTTTAAATGTACAAAATTGATGATTGTTTCCATTTTCAGTTCTGTGTATATTGCATTCTTTTTGTTGAACTTTTTGTAATAAAAGATTAAATTTTTTTGTTCGTGGAGCAAATTAAGAAATATATTTTAGTTAAAATCCTAGTGAAATCCAATGTAAATTATTTTACAGTATTATTTAATTTATGTTGAAATAAATTATTGGCTACTGAGTTGCATCACTTTTACAGCAACAATGTAAAAATAACTGATTTATATTCACAGCTAAATACTGTGATTTCCCAATTGTATCACAATAATTCCACTGGCATTGCCTTCCTGAAGTTAGAATATATAGCTGTAATTTTCATGTAAATTACTGTAAAATACTATTACTGTCAAATATATATAGATAAATATTTTGAAATATTCTCTGTGGATTACTGTAGAGAAATGCAATTAGTACCCAGTAATTTACCATAAATAAATAAATAAAAAAAAGTTCATAGAGCAGTTTTAGGTGAACAAAAAAATATTACAAAGCAAACAAATGAAAGTCAGTTCCACTGTTTTTTATATAGCTCAAGACAATTTACGGGGATGATACAATCACATTGGTTTTAAAGTTCTGTCAAGGCAAACCTGCATGGAGTCATTAACTTAAAACTGGATACTTTAAGCTGAATCTTTTTTTTTTTTTATGTCAACAGCAACTGGTTAGTCATCAGTATTTCCCATTACTATCTTGTCGGAACATAAAATGATTTTTTTAAATATGCTTGTTTCTGGCCATGTGTGTAATTTTCAATTAATCTGAAACTAAGTTTACATTTGCTAGGTTTTTAAAAAAAAATTAGAAACCACCTTAAAAAGTATCACTCTGTTATGAATCCATTCTATTTTCATTAAAAACAAAAACTGTATAAAAAGTATACTTTTATGTTATATTCTACCTTGATAACACTTTATGTATTTTACATGCTGTCGCCCATATTTTTATTCTTGTCATTTTAAGTTTCTAAATAATAACTTTGTAATGTTTTCACTGTTAAACAATCTCCATATAATTATTGTTTAATTAAGGACCAATAAAACTTCTGCGACAATAGAAGGCTTTGCACAGTGCTTTCAGGTAAAGCTGCGCTGTTATTTAATTGATTTCACTTTTTCCCAGTCTTCATCCCCCCAGGGGATCAATGTTGGAGGCAGAATAGGTTTTCAGCTTGAATTTCGACACCTTGGTGGACCAATCATTTGTAGGCTTCAGCAGGATGCAGACCAATGGCAGCATTCTATGGGCGTCTCTGGCCACGCTGAGGTGCGTATTTTGGAGTTTGGTAAATGACTGCAGCAGGAAAATATAGTGTCGAAGCGCAAAGAGCTGGCACTGTTATATTAGAGAGAGAGAGTGCGTGTCTGTACGCGCCAGGCAGTGATGTCCTCTTCTGCCATGGAAGAGGGTCCATATCAGTCTGACACACAGGGCTGCATGTTATTATGAAACTCTGATCGACAGCGGGACTGAGTTATTGCTATTGTTGGGATTTAACGCGCCCGGTGCGCCGGTGGGAGCGGATGCGGAGAGCAGCAGCGGTTGCCGACGCGTCTCCAACTTGACCACTACCAGACAATGGGAGCAGCTGAGCCGAGCTGCTGCAGCGCCAAGTACTACTACAACTGCTTGCCCCTGGGAGATAAGTACGAGAAGAAGAAGGAGAACCAGAAACGAGAGGAGGGGGTAAAGAAGGAGAGGGAGAAGAAGAGACAGACGTGTTGTACCTGCAGCAGCAGCAGCCCCGGGACTCCCTCAGCAGCCGATACGCACAGATCCAGAACGACGCTCCGGTTGCCCCAGGGATCCATGTGAGACAGAACCTGCAGATGTGAGAGAAAGCTCTCCTCTGTGTGCGGATTTTAGGAATATAACACACCTGTATTTGTTTCGGCGCTCCAGGGGCAAGAGGACGCAGGTTTTAGCAGTCAACCAGCCAATGAAGGAATATGTGTAATTTCTCTGTGAACTGCGGCGGAGCGCACAGACCGGACCTCAGAGTCATCGCCTCTAGTCGTGTCAAGCATTAGCAGCCTGTAAGCGGCTGCTGTCCTCTGAGACCAGAGACCCCCTCCGCCCCTGCCCCATCCCCTCCATTGTTTGTCCCCGGGTGTCCCCCCTCGAACCAAGACCTAGAAGAGCTCCCCCCTCACGGTCCCTTCCTCCCTCTGCCTCTGTCCGAGGTGCTGAAAACATTTTCGGCCTGGATTCAGTGGATTTTCTCTTACGTCGGCTCTTGAGAAGTAAGCGGACAGGCATGCTTTTATGGAGGGTGAAGTGATGGCCATCCCACGGCTCGGCATTGGAGAGTACAGGATCTGACACGGACCCTCACCCACAGAAAAGCAGGACATTCCGGGCTCACCTTGGAGGTCATAAAACATCATCCCCGCCCTCCCCAGTCCCTGATACCAGACCTTCTTTTCAACATTTTCTAAAGAGTGTCCATCACCTTCACAACCCCCCTTCAAAAAATGAGACTCGCAAAAATGTGCCGACTGAACCCGCTGGGGATCTATTTGTGGGAAACGGTTTTATTTATCAGGTAAGCACATCCATGAAGCCGACATGACTGGTAGGGAAAGGGAAATGCATAACGAAATATGTTTAATTTGCTCGGGGATTTGATAAAAACAAATGAAATTTGCATTTTTATTGCCTTGATGCCGTTTGGGACACGTATGGAAATTAAAACAGCGTTCAGAGATCTTAACAGCATAAAGGGGAATTACGGTTAGAAGTTGTCAAAGTTGCCTCTGAGTTGTCAAAGTTTCCTCTGAGTTGAGTTATGGCTGATAAGCATTCTGGACATGGGAAGGACTTGTAATGAAGTTGCACTAAGATCAGACAGGGTTTTTTTTTCTTTCCCTTTTATTTGGAGAAAATTGCGTCCACTAGTGGCTGGATATCCTGTGAATTATTAGTTCCTTATAGGTTTTTTTAATTATGCAGGAAAAAAATGCTCCAAAACAGGCACTTTAAAGGCAAAAATAAATAAATAAATAAATAAAAAATAGTTAAGTTTATAATTCAATCATCTGCTCCTCATGTAATTTCTCCATACACAACCATTCCCTTCCCACCAAGCCTATACCAGACCATGTAACAACCCCATATTTGCATTGTTTGGTGACACTATTTAGTCCAATTTCTTTCTTTTCTATCAGTGCCTCACAGTACCTAAGCTATTATAAGTGAACACTTATTTCACAAATGTAATGTTGAAGGTTTATCACATTACTTTTCAAAAATGTACTCACATAAGATTAAACTAGATTTGAGTAGATTCAGTGTTTCTTGTCCACAGAAACTTTGTCTTAGATAGGTACTTGCTATTCTTAAATCACATAACATCCATACTTACATCATTACACTTCTTCAAATAATAAATTATCCAACTTTGACTGTTCCTCTTATTTGTCAGGGTAAATGTGGGTCTGGTGCCTATATCCAACAGTCTTTGGGCAAAAGTCTGTATCCTGCCTGGGCAGGTCACCAGTCTAACACAGGGTGGACACCTATGGCCATGATCACAGTCACACCTAAGGGCAATTTAGAAACAGCAATAAAAAGGTTTGAGGAAGCCGAAGTGCCATGAGAGAACCCACACATGCACAGGGAAAAAATGCAAACTCCATGGAGAAATACCCTAGGCTGGGAATCAAAGCCGGGACATTAATGCTGCATGGCAATTTACAGCAAAACAAAGAAAAGAAAAACAAAAAAACCATACAAACTTGAAGTGCAACTTAAGTCTTACAGAGCATAACCTTTATCTTGGTGAGCAGTCTTGTGATTTTGATGATTTCATGCTATATTCTGGTTATTTTGTGCTGAATATGTACTTGAAGTTTCCTATTTGAATACGTTCAGTTTTGCTAAGTTGAAGAAACCTAACCTTTGGTCTTTGTTTAATTGATCTATTCACAGAAAAATCATCCATAATCATAATTGATCATCCATAATTGAACATTTCAGGCTGTAAAATCCACAATAATACCAGAAACTGGCAACTGCTAACTAGCAACCCAGCAAATTATTTGTAAAAAATCTATATTTTTTTTTAAATCTGAAAAAAAATGCTTTCAGAAATTAATAGCATATTTATTTTTTATAGGGATGCACGATATAATTGGCCCCCTATCGGTATCGGCCTTAAAACTGAATATCGGACCCACCGATATTTAACCCGATATTTGATCAGCTTCTGAGTTTCTAAAGTCTTCCTCAAAAACTTCTTTTTTACAGACTTAAAAACTTCTAAAGACGAGGGAAAAAATATTGATACATTAAAATATCCCAATATCTTCATATGCTGATATATTGCCATTTAAAAACA